AATATGGACAATTATTTGATAATTATATATCCATAATAATCCAATGAAAATGATTGGAAAATCTAACAATATCATTGTACTATCTCTGTTGATCGTACCTGAGTTTCTGAATTAAAGTAACATTAAAGTAATATAAAGTATTTTATGTTACTTTATATTACTTTATATTACTAGTGACATAAAAGTAACATTAAAGTATTTTATGTTAAATAAATCCTTCAATTTACTATACCATTACTTTTATGTTACTTTAAATTACTAATACTTTAAGTAATATAAAGTAACATAAAAGTAATGGTATAGTAAATTGAAGGATTTCAACAACACTGTGCTACAACACTGTGAAGTCAATTTTCGGAAATCAAGATCACTGAAGAATACATAATTTCTATACAAAACACTTCTTTGACAGATTTTTGAAAATGTCTTATAAAGGATGATTATTCTAAAAGAATACACTCTCTATATCACATGTCGCTTAAAATAACATACTTAATCATTAATTTACAATAATCACAGCTATAATAAATATATTAACATTATTTTACTTCATACCCCATTCCCGTCCTCGCAACATTTTGTTTGCCTGATTCTTCTCCCTTCTGACACAACATCATATGGCTTGTTCATAACAAGAATGTGGAGTAGAGCTGCTACTATCACTTATCTTACAAATACTTGCTGTGTGTGTGTGTGTGAACTAACTAATTACGCCGACGTTTCTTCCGTGGGAAGAGAGTTCCCACATTTTTCAGGAATTCAAACATATGACGGTAACCAGGAACATCAACTAAGTGCAAAACTATTTTGCCATTGTTGTCATTAACATTAAAATCGGCCTTTTTCTCATTTATCAGAAATTTGACCATGTCCAAGTTGCAAGAGAGTATAGCCATGTGCAAAACTGTTCTGCCCTTATTGTCTTTAGCATTAAAATCGGCGGCTTTTTCATTTATCAGAAATTTAACCACGTCCAAGTTACCAGAGGTCGCAGCTGTGTGCAAAACTGTCACGCCACTATTGTCTTTAATATTAATATCGGCATTCCTTTCATTTACTAAATATTTAATCACGTTCCACGTACCATGAACAGTAGCAGCCATATGCAAAACTGAAATGCCATTATTGTCTTTAGCATTAAAGTCGACCCCTTTTTCGTCCACTAGAAATTTCGTCGTCTCCAAGTTATCACAGGCAGCAGCCGTGTGCAAAATCGTCAAGCCATTTTGGTCTTTAACATTAAAATCGGCACCTACTTTATTCACCAGAAATTGTATCATGTTAAGGTTAAATTTATCCGTGTTAGCGGCAGCGTGCAAAACTGACATGCCATTATTGTCTTGAGCATTAAAATCGGTATTTTTCTCATATATCAAATATTTTACCAACTCCAAGTTACCACTGAGTACTGCCTCGAACAAAACTGTTCTGCCACGATTGTCTTTAACATTCGGATTGATCATTACTTCCTCCAGCAGAAATTTCACCGTCTTTAAGTTACCGAAGGTAGCAGCCGTGTGCAAAATCGTCGAGCCATAATCGTCTTTAGCATTAAAATCGGCCCCTTTTTCTTTTATTAGATATTGTATTATTTTCCAATAATCCGAGGTAGCAGCCGTGTGCAAAACTGTCAAGCCATCGTAGTCTTTAGTATCAATATCAACCCCTAATTCATCCACCAGAAATTTAATTAAGTCCAGGTTACCAGAACTAGCGGCCGTGTGCAAAATCGTCAAGCCATTATTGTCTATAACATTAAAATTGGCATTTTTTTCATTTATCAAAAATTTAACTATCTCCAAGTTACCACAGAAAACAGCCGCGTGCACAGCTGTCATGCCATAATCGTCTTCAGCTTCAAAATCGACCTTTTTTTCATCCACCAGAAATTTAATTATGTCCAAGTTACCAAAGGAAGCAGCCGCGTGCAAAACTGACAAGCCATTGTTGTCTTTGGCATGCAAATTGGCCCTTTTTTTATTTACCAGAAATTTAACTATCTCCGAGTTATCATTGGTAACAGCCGCGTGCAAAACTGTCATGCCATCATCGTTTCTAGATTCAAAATCGATCTTTCTCTCATCCACCAGAAATTTTACAATCTCCAAGTTACCGAAGGTAGCAGCCATGTGCAAAATTGTCGAGCCATGAGTGTCTCTATCATGAAAATCGGCCCCTTTTTCATTTATCAGAAATTTAACTGTATCCAAACTATCAAAAATAGTAGCCATGTGCAGAACTGATACGCCATTGTTGTCTTTAACATTAAAATCGACACCTTTTTCATTTATCAGAAATTTAACTACATCCAACGTACCAAAGGCAGCAGCCGCGTGCAAAACTGTACTGCCAATATTGTCTCTAATATTAAAATTGGCCCCTTTTTCATTTATCAAATACTTAACTATCTCCCACTTATTCATGTTAGCAGCTAGGAGCAAAACTGGCATTTCATTGTAGTCTTTAGCTTCAAAATCGGCCCCTTTTTCATCCACCAGAAATTTAACCATCTCCAAGTTACCAGATAACGCAGCTCCGTGCAAAATTGTCATGCCATTATTGTCTATAGCATTAAAATTGGCCTGTTTTTTATTTATCAGATATCTAACTATCTTGAAATTACCAGTGATAGCAGCCATGTGCAAAGCTGTTATGCCCTCATTATTCTCAGCATCAACATCGATCTGTGTTTTATTCATCAGAAATTTAACCATCTTAAAGTTGTCAGAGTTAACAGCCATGTGTAAAGCTGTCATGCCATCATAATCTTGAACGTCGGTATCGACCTTTTCCTGATTCGCCAGAAATTTAACCATCTTCAACTTACCACTGTAAGCAGCCAAATGCAAAACTGTGCTGCCATTGTTGTCTTTAGTGGTCAAATCGGCATTTTTTTCATTCACCAGATATTTAACTATCTTTAGATTGCCATCGTTAACAGCCCTGAGCAAAATTGTCATGCCATTTTGATCTTTAACTTCAAAATTGACTCCTTTTTCATCCACCAGAAATTTAATTATCTCCAAGTTGCCTTTTCTGACAGCCATATGCAAAACTGTTATGCTATTCACGTCTTTTATAGTGAAATCGGCATTTCTTTTACTTTCCGGAAATTTAACCATCTTGAAGGCGCTAGTGGTAGCTGAAGAAAGATAAAAGAAAATTAAAGAAAAAATTGAGACAATGTCGAAGAAAATTCTTATAGGGTAAAGAGCTTTCGAGAATATTGCAATAACTGTGGACACTGGGACATCGTCAAGAGAGATGGAGAACCCGAAATCCGACAAAATCAAAATACAGTAAATTCTCCCTAATTGAGGCTCAACTTGTACACAAAAATGGACAATTTGGGCAATAAGGTTAACCGATTTCGAACGTGAGATTTTTAAGCTTTGTGTTATTCCAAGTAATTCTAATTTTTTAGAAGAAGTTTCTAGACACTGTCGAGTGAACTAGTTTTAAATTTTCCAAGAGATTCCAGTCATTCACAGTTCAATTTTAAAAATCTTAATCCGTTTTAACACTCAAACAATATGGTTTGGATCCATTTCCACTCGCAGTGTATAAATATTTCCATTTGGCAATTTAATTTCTGAAAATTAGTTCAAATCCCATAATTATATTAGCACGCGGAAAGAGGTGTTTCCTGAGGTCATTTGAAGTAATTTTTTCCTTAGCGAAAATGCAATCCCCGGCTTTGTTTACGAGATCAGCTGGTGCGAAACGACCGAGCCAATGGCTGGGCTGCCTCGCGCCAGCCGAGCTCGCTTTTTATTGGTCAATGTTTTTCAATAATAACAATGTCGCGGATTTCATTTTTTGCTAAGGAAAACATTAGTTCAAATGATTTCGGGAACCTCTCATTTCCGAATTGCGAGACATTTTTGGGGTACCCGGTATACTCTATTTTAATTTACCGTAAAGGATTTTTTCTCTTTAATGTATATTTATTTAAGTATAGGGTATAGAAGTCAAAATTATACGAAAGAGACGGATTTTAAGAAACTTTGTTCCTAGTTTAATACGTTCATTGGGCATTGTCATATAACATGGTTCAGGCTCTGCTCGGCACTGGCAAGCACTGCTAGCTATAAAATTAACTCGTACTAATGAAGCATTTAAATTATAATGATCGAAATGATATCTATTAACAAAGAGTATAAAATCTCTGAAATGTCGATAGGAACATTAGACGAGCGGTGGCCGCTGGCACGCGTCAGATTTGGACATTATTCGAGTACAATTTTTTTCGAATAACATGTCGAGTACATTATCCGAATAATAATCTTTGAAAAGGAAGTATTAATAAAATATATTTGGCGTAAAAAAAAAGTTACGAAAAATGTAACAAAATTTTCTCGTTTCTGTAAGGAAAATATTGTAATTTCATTTTTTAAGCAGCTCTCAGAGATCTCTCAAACATTTAAAATTCCGCTATGTAGAAACACACACATATTATGCATATAAATATGATCTTATTGAAATAATATGAAGCAAAAGGGAAGAAAGTTCTTCTTCTTATTATGGTTTATTCAATAAATTAGCTTTAAATTATTTCAATAAGACCGCAGTTATTTGCATAATATGTTTCTACATAGCAGAATTTCAAATGTTTGAGAGATCTATAAGGAAATTACAATATTTATCTTATAGAAACGATAACATTTTGTTACATTTCCTGTAACTTTGGTTATTTTCTTCCTTCAAATATATCTTTTTAATACTTCCTCTTTAAAAATTATTGGAATAATATATTTATATAATACATTTTTATAACATAAATAACATAACATTTAATTAATATTATTATATAATATAATATAATTAATAACATAACATTATAACATAACATTTTTAAAATAATACATTCGAAGAAATTATTCAAATAAAATGTGTTCAACTCTAGTAG